TTACTTCCAGATTGGTTACATTTAATATCGTTAATGATAGTATTATTACTATTGTGGTAAGATTCACCATAATAGTGGGCAATTTATCACAATTGAGGGCACATTTATTACTTTTGGGTTTGAATTTACCACAATTGTTGATAAATTTATAAGTTTAGAGTAGAATTTATGACTTCTTTCATTAAGATTATGATAATTTTGGGCAAAATTATGAAGATAAATGGTAAATTTTTCCATAGAAGTGGGTTAAGTTAAAACCCTAATGGATGAATTTATTACAACTGTGTTAACATTATAATATGAAAAGGCAAATTTGCTACCGTTTAAGGTTAAGTTAAAATGATTCTGGTTAAGATTATTAGTATATAGGCCAATTTTACTTTCGTTTTGATTAATTATACAAACTTAAAAGTCAATTTACGACATCGGTGAAATGCAACAGTATCATATTTATGTCTACTACTGTAATAAAACTTTTACTAATATTATAAATTTTTCAATGATGTTATAAATTTGTCCACTATTGAGGTCTTATCTTTTGCTTTTATTTGTGGCAAAATCTAATACCTTATGAACCTAACAACTTTTCAATGCGGAACCGAAAAACTACCGTAGCCCTCCCCTTTCCCCATACATCTGCATTGAATGGTCGCTAGCTGTTTTAGTAGTCCAAGGATACACATTACATGACGATGATACTAAAATGCCTTGTACCATAAGTCCTTCTTCCCTAAAAATAAGTAAAGAACCAGCGTTTTGAACCAGTCGTGATCAGATTCAAAGGGAATCAATGGACTCGTTTTAGATCCTTCTTCTTGTTCTGAAGAAGAGACTCGCCTTCTTTTGACTCATTAATGTTCTGTCTTGAGGCTTACTCAAAAGCTGCAGAAAAAGTGGGGGTTTGTTTGTCATCTAAATGGCATGATTGCATTTTCAATATCGGTATTATAAAATTTAAAAAATTTAATATATTCATCTAAAAGTTTTAAATAAACTCATTCAACAGTTATCGGGATATCTTTTAAAAACATTCACATTATATTATATTTTCATGCACGGATTACACTAATGTATATATATCTTCGCACCACTCCGGCAGGGGAGGGGAGCGGGATGGAATCACTAAATTATTTGAACTTTCACTAATATTCTCTTTATTTATAATGGATACTTGAGATCTCTCATATATTCACGTACACATCTTTCATTAATTATTTGAAATTTTAATTAACCCCTTCTAGTTTTTCATGAAATACTACTTTTGACACCGTTAAATATGGTGATGCCATCAAAGTTTTATTTTTTATAATATAAGTTTTACCCTTTCTTTAGTTATTGGATGCAATGATAATCTAATGTCACCCTTGTTTTCAATTTTGATAAAATCTTATGTGAAAAACTAAGTAAATTTGAAATAAGAAGACTAAAATTATATCTTTACACTCAAAGAATAATAATAAATTCAAAACAATGTTCAGAGTTAATGTATATGGAGGTGTATACGAAATTATTCTTAAATATACGTAAAGTAATTTAAAAATTATTTTAAGAAATTAACCAGCCTTCAATAATTTTTTAGTTTGTAATAGACGCTAATCATTACAGGATCTACCATCTACGATAAATTGAGTTTAAAAGGAGTACAATGAAATTTTAGATACTTAAAAGAATATCCTTTAAGTATATGATCGAATAGCGAGTATTGAGTACAAATTAAGTCTTTCTAGAATAATAATAATAATAGTCGTATACTTGGTCAGACTTAGCATTGTGACCCTACCCCAATTTTTATATTCGTTACTTTGGTTTTGGGGCCTTTGAATTCTTATGAGCTACGGTGTGTTTGGTCCTCTCAACACCTGATGTAGAAGTAAAATTTTGTCATTCTATTGTGATAATAAATGTCACCGATGGCATGACCTTGTAATGAATATTTTTATTATTTCTGTCGAAGATCGTTAAATTAAAGTAATAATATGATTTTATGCTTCAATTTAATTATTATTATGATTATAATTATATTCTAATTGGAATTAAAAAATAGTAGGGTGGACATACATATATTCAATAAATATTTTAAATTTGAGAAAATTACACTCAGACACTCTGAAATTTATTATTTATTATTTAAACCCCTTAATATTTGAAATATTACACATAGATTCTCTAAAGTTTGTATATACGTAACACTTAGACCTCTACTGTGAATATCTGTTATATATCCATTAATAAATTATATTCAGACCCCCTAAAATTTGTAGACATATAATAGTTAGACCTCTCAAGTTTAAAATGTTATATTTAGATCAAAAATCATTCAATCAAAGATAAAATATCATATATTTTAAATTGTACAATCAAAATTCATGTTCTATTATGACATTTATTGAAATAAAATTAAAAATAAAATCTAATTTTTTTCTTTAAAAAGTTATAATTAGTATAAAATTATATTATCTATTAGAATTTAATTTGATCTTTTAAAAGACCAAATTAAACTACCAAATTAATCCAATTAAAGTTAGAATATATATTAGTTTTATTCTTATGATTTTTTAAGAAAAAATTATATTTTTATTTTTGATTTTATTTCAATAAATGACATAATATAACATGAATTTTGATTGTAAAATTTATGTTCTATTATGAATGAATTACACCCCTTGTTTAATGTTTTTTAGTTTTATTCTAATAGATAATATAATTGTATATTAATTATGAGTTTTTGAGAAAAAAATTGACTTTCAATTTTTTATTTTATTTCAATAAATGATATAATATAACATGAATTTTAGTTGTAAAATTATAAATATTTGATATTTTATTCATTGAAGTTTTTTTAGTCTAAATATAACATTTTAAACTTAAGAGGTATAAGTATTATATACTTACAAATTTTAAGGGATCTAAGTGTAATTTATTAACGAACATTTGACGACAAGAGCCTAAGTGTTACGTGCATATAAATCTCAGAAAATGTGCGTATAATATTTTAAAATCAAGAGATGTGAGTAATTAGCTTATAAACTTGAAGAAGTTTGGATGCAATTCTCCCTCGAAGCAACCAACACGCTGGACTCACCTGTAATAGATAGCAACAGTTTGTTTTTGTTGATCAGATCGATAACAACCATTCATTTACCCCAAAACAAAGAAGAAGAAGAAGATAGCAACAGTTCTTTCTCTTATTTCTTTTTTTTCCTTTTATTTTACGAGGTGATAAAATTAATATTTACGCATAATTTAGTGGATGGAGTTTTTATAAACAAAGTGCACAATATCGAATTTGTAACATCATATCTAATAACCCGATAAACTTAAATCGCATTGAACAACATTTAAGCATCAATTGATATGGAACTATTGAACGTGTTAAAACAAGCATTTAAGCATCAATGGATTTTGATTACCCACCTAATAATGCATTCTATCTGTGGGTATTTTGTTATGTTATATTGAATTATGAAGTCAAATGCATTGTACCGTTATTCTGTGGCACCGTTAGTCGCCCTATATATTATTTTAAATATTTGGAGAAAATATTTTTAATTACTGCTTTTTCATCCCTTATCTTTTTGGACAGAGAATTTCTTTATATTTTTCTCGGTGAGTGAAATTCCGTTATTGACCCGCGTCAAGGACCTGGTCAAAATTGAATAAAATAAGAAATGAAACCAACCAAAATTTTGATGGCGAATTTCATCCTAAAAGTTTTAAAAACTTTAATTTTACATTCGTAAAAGATTAAATTTTTTATATGATACCCTTAATATATTAAAACTATTACAATGTGATCTTTTCGATAGTTTTTGATGATGCACAAATCGAATTTGCGTACCACCTATCAAGTAATTAATGCAAATAATAAAATAGAGAGCAAAAAACTCAACAGAAGCAATACACAATTTAATTGGTTCGGTCAAGGTAATCTACTTCACTGTAAAAGGCTAGAATGACCTGCGTGTTTTATTATTGTACGAGCCTAAGAGGATCAGGTGAGAGCTCAAGTGGGAGCAATGAGAGCTCATGCGACGTACAAGATGTGAGAGATATGAGACTAATGCAAGATGTGATCGATTTGTGTGAGATGCCCCTCATGTGTATGCGAGAGTTATATTTTATAGTCGCCTCTTAGCAGATTGAGACGACTTATTAGTAACTAAAAGACTAATTTGGTGGAAGGGGTGTCATCTTCGCAACGAATAAGGCTGTTGCGGGGCTCTTCTCAAGACCAGGAATTAGGATAGTGTGGTCGACTTCCTTGCTGCTTACTCCAAGGTAGCGTGGATGAGACTTTTGGGATGACATTGCCTACTCCTTGATGACGTGGCTCTTGGAGCCTTGATAAACCTGACTAGACGTGAAACTCTTTTGGACTGGACCCATTGAATTTGATCTAGGTGGATCCTTTATTCATGTTAGGCCCACAACCTCAGTTGGGTCTTAGGCTAGCCCCATTAGTTTTAGTTACTCATTTCGTTATCGTCAATAAGGTGGGTTTTGACGAAATAAGTAACGGAAGATAATAACAAGGCCACATTATAACACTTTTAATTCATTAAGGTGAAATATGAGAAATCTCATCTTTAAGGGTTTAAAGTGAATAAACTTAAATCTTTCGGGCTACAAAATGGTATTTCCCCCTTTCTTTTTGTTAATTTTAAATTGAGAAAACAACACCTTTCGTGGATATAGAAGTTGGGATTAGTTGAAGAAGATTCAGATACTAAAAAATTTTGATTTCTCCTGAAGTCTTCCAGGCTGAATTTCTTGCGATTTTCTCAACTTGTATTAATAAATTGAGACTAAAAACAACAACAAAAAATTAAGCCTGCAATACTGGTCAAATTCTGTGTGCACCAGCAATTGTTCAATCTGTTTCTTTCAAGTCCTATAAGTCTCTCTATCTCTCTCTCTCTTAAATTTTGCTTTCTATACCCATATTCAGTATCATGGGAAAAACCTGTCAAAGGGAAGTTTTCCGTAGAGGAAATAGTAGTATGACCATGAAGTTTTCTTTCCCTTGCCCTAAATGTTTCTCCTCTGCATCAGATATCATGGCTACCAGCAAGAACAAGACTGGTAAATTCTCTGTCTTTTTGGCCTTCTTTTCATTTGAATTCTGCTTTTTCCATGTATAAAACCAGGGAGCATGTATAAAATCAATTGCTAAAGCAGGTGGACAAACCACCAAGAATTTCCATGTATTTTCCTACAAAGAATTAAAAGCTGCCACTAATGGATTCCGTTCATCCAACAAGATTGGAGAGGGAGGATTCGGCACTGTCTACAAGGTAAGGCGTGTTATGGGTTTGACTCACAAAAATAGTTTCTTCTTTACCTTATGTACATTTGTAGTTTGTCTTGGCAATGCCTTTTGATAATACTTTTGGTTTTGGTTGGACTAATACAGGGCCGGCTTGGAGATGGAACTTTTGTGGCAGTAAAAGTGCTATTGGTTGAGCTTGAATCATTGAGAGGTGAAAGGGAGTTTATGGCTGAAATAGCTTCACTCTTCCATATCAAACATGAAAATCTTGTTACACTTCGAGGGTGTTGTGTTGAAGGAGCTAAGAGATTTTTGGTGTATGATCATATGGAAAACAATAGCCTTGCTCACACCTTTCTTGGTAATTTCAATTTCTGTGCTATTAATCTGCAGTGTAGTGTATATAGGAGATATTAAGATTAAAGTTCTTCTTTGATTTGTACATTCATAAGAATCTCAGAATGTTACTAGAAAATGTTTTCTTTGTGTGATGTTTGATCAATAGGTGGAGAGAAAAACAGGATGAGATTTAGCTGGACACTGAGGAGGGATATCTCATTAGGAATCGCTCGTGGACTTGCCTATCTCCATGAAGAGGTCAATCCCCACATCGTTCATCGGGATATTAAGGCCAGCAATATACTACTTGATCAGAATTTTACACCAAAAGTTTCGGATTTTGGTCTGTCGAAGCTATTCAGCGATAACATGTCTCACATTAGTACTCGTGTTGCCGGGACATTGTAAGTTGAATTACTGGTTTTTTCAAGTTTCAACCAACAATTGCAACATAGATCTGTCTGTATTGGGTTCATTCCTTTTTGAGTGCTGTGTTGCTAATGGGGATTTCTGCAATGACAAATGCCAAAGAGGCTACCTTTCTCCAGAATACGCCATTAGTGGACATTTAACGCGGAAGTCAGATGTTTACAGCTATGGAGTACTGCTATTGGAGATGGTCAGTGGCCGATCAATCGTTGATTTTGATTTAGAACGTGGGGAGCAGTTCCTAGTTGATAAGGTAACAAAATTAATTAAGCACTGTTGAATCTATCATAGCTAATATTTCCTGGCAAAAATGTGACAAGCCTGTTTTTTGATATCAGTCTAAGAAGCTCAAGACTCAGAAATCGCCATAGTTATTTTCAAGGGGGGGAAAAGCAAACAAACTTGGATTGATTTGGTTCATCAATAATACCTTGTTGAATGTGCTATTAGAAAAGTTTTTGGTCTTTACTAGAGTTCAGGAGTCAATTTCTCTCCAGGCCAATGTATTCAACTTTTACGATTGCATCAAATAAAAAAACTGGGAGAGAATTGGAATTAGAGAGAAGCCTCACACTCTATGACAAACTTTTGTCTTTCGACCATTTAAGGTAGATTTGCTTCTTGTATTGAAAAAGGAGAAAAAAAAATTGGGAGAATACATCATTGGTTTTGTATGGTCAAAAAATAAGGCATTGAGTGATTTCATTCCTTCAAAATATTTGTTACTACGATAAATCCAAAGGACACGCGGCTAAGACAATTTCTTGTTTAGGAAAAGAAATGAGGCATTGTGCCCCCTTGTTAGGTCAAGCATGGGAAATGTACAATGCTGTTGTGTGTACAATACATAGGGACTGTAAAAAATGTATACAAATATGAGATAATGTGACTTTCAATTGATCATATTGTTAGCTTTGCTTGGTTCCATATAGTAGACAATGACTTCTTTTGTGCACATTTAATTATGTGCAGGCATGGGAGATGTACAACGCCAACAACCTCTTGCAGCTAGTGGACCCTGTACTAAAAAGAGATTTTCCGGTAGAAGAAGCAGTCCGATTCTTAAAAATTGGCCTGCTCTGCGTGCAAGAGAACACCAAGCTCCGCCCTCCCATGTCCACAGCCATCAATATGCTGACAAATATGATTGACATTGAAAACATCAAGGTTTCGCAACCTGGACTTGTTGCCGATCTCATGGATGTTAAAATAGGCCAGAAGAACTCTTCCCGGAAAAGTAGCTTTTTCTCCTAGGCGTCCACCGGTATGAAAATATAGAGCGGCCGTGCGGTGGCTGTCGAGGCTAGCTTGGACCAGGCAATTGTATTTGTCTTGAAAATGAATCAAAAATTCTATTTTTTTTATCAAGAAAATGAAGCAATTCAAATCATGATTTTGTGATTCTAAAGTACCCATCCCCATTGCATTGACCAAACATTCACTAATTTCACATACTATGTAATGCTTAAAGTGAGAATGGCTAGTGGCGCAATGTACAGACTTTATGGATTGAGTTACCCTTTTATGTTCATACTTGAAAAGCTTTCTTGGACGATTTTCAGGTCTATTTCCTTGCAATGCAACACTGTAACTTCTTGTAAGTGGAAAAGGACAAGTTTCTTTTTTTTTTTGGCAACGGAAAATCATTCTAAACACGTCTATTTTAGACTTATGGGTACCAAATAAATCTCCAATGAATGTAATTACTTGTAATCCATTAGACTCAGAGTTTAATGCAATCAAATTGTTTCGAACTCAAAGCGTGCAGTTCACAAATTGACCCTTATTTGAAGAAACCAATCTGTGCGAATTGAGTATCTAAATATTTATTGAAGAAAGAATTTCAAATAGGACAATCAACTTTAATATTACTTGGTATAGCTCATTTAAAAAGCCGTCTAGATTGTGGTACTCGAATACGATATGTTAGAAAACAAATAATTGCATGATATGTCAACTCTTCATGCATATGCACGTGGTTCTACGTCCATGACAATGAGTTAATTGGTTTACTGCCAAGGCGGCTTCTTTGAGATTAGAGGTCAACACATTCATGTTGAAGAGTTTGTGCCCAGGGGTTTTTTATCGGGCCAATGTGACCCGATCCAATCCGCTGCGGACAACTCCCCTATATTATAGGGGCTTAGGGAGGCCTCTCTCTTTCCTCATAAAGTATATCTATATATAAGGAATTTGACTCAACAGACATAAACCAACGCTGCTACTCTGAATTTATTCTAGTGACATAGCTCTTTAAAGAGAAGGAACAAACAACAGGCAATGAAAAAGAAAAGAAAAAGAGGGAATAGAGCCACACAAGATGCAGAGCCTAATTCAAGAATTTTAAAACATAAATTGCTACACTAAACGCTTCCAAGGAAAATAAAAACCTAGTGGTGAGCAACCTTCACAAGATCTTGCCAATGCCAATTTACATAGGCACCACAATTGCTTCCAAGACAAACTGGAAAAAACACACACAATCAAAGTACAGAGAAAACAGAACAACACTATGGCAGAACAATCCTTAGTGATCTCTATAACCTTTTATTTTTTTACAGGAATCTCTAGCACCTCACACATTCAAAAGTAGTAAAATAAGTATCAAATAAAAGTCACATTGACACCCAGCGTAATGCGCTATAACTACTAATTGGAATTCATCTTTACATTTCCGAATATGATCATAATCCAAAATTGATTTCACCCAGAAAAATTCGAGTGAAAAAAAAAAAAATTAACCCACCATAGCATTTAACTATATAGAGAATCAAGTGCATATTTATTTGTCTGAGTATCCATGCACAGTTTTGCATCAACCGAAAAATATTTAAAGCTTGGGGCATTTATTCAATTATTTCTTTAACATCTATATAATAAAGTACAAAAGACTTCAAATTCGCTAAGACATAATAATGACTTTTATTTTTTGTGATTCTAAGTCATTTCAAAACAAATCCAAAAGCAATCTCATGACTGGAAATCATTCCCTAAAATATGAGTTCCTGTCCAAAACATTCCATATCAATGCGCTCTCACACACATTTTTACCTTGCTGGCCCAGCCTCTCACATCCGCTCTCTCTCCTCCCTCTTCCACATGCCCTAACTCCCTCCTCCCTTATCTCTATGTTTATTTCATTCTCCAGCACCCACCATCCTTACACTTTTCTAGAGGTTGCAAATGAGTGGGTTGAATTGGTTATGGGTTTGATTAAATTGGATTGAGTTAAAATAAATCTAATCTATTTTTCACTCATGTAGTAAATGAGTTAGGTTTATAAAGGGTTGGGTTAAACTAATTAACCCATAAAATAATTAAAATTTTTAATGAACACATTAGTACATCAAAACATACACACACACATTAGTAGAACATCAAAATACAAACATACATACACACTAATAACCAAAACACACACAAATTAATACACTAAAAATATACACACTAAAATATACACTAATACACCAAAAATACACACACATATACTAGCATAAAAATTAAAATATATTTAATAAAACAATACACAAATAATAGGTCGAGACGATTGTAGGCTATGGGCCACCCATAAGGGTCGTCAGTCAACCCATGGGTCATGGGTCAACCCACGGGTTATGAGTCGACCCATGGATCATGGGTCATGGGTGGTGAATTAGTGTGTGTTTTTTGTGTACTGGTGTGTGTGTATTTTGGTGTATTAGTATATATGTGTATATTTTTTAGTGTAATAGTGTGTGTATTTTTTGGTATATTAATATATTTATTTAATTTTATTACTTGTGTTATTTAATAAAAATAAAAATATAAATACTCAACTCAATGGGTACCCATTTATTATCCATATTAACCCCCTCAATTAAAATAAATGATATTATTCAATTCATTTAGAACCCATATTAATTAATATAAATATCTAACTCATTAATGAGTAATGAATTAAAATTGTCACCTCTATACTTTTACCGTCTCTCCCTCTCATCTCTATTTTATCTCCTTCCGTAACCAGAACTTCTCCCCAACACCAAACCACTAGCAATGCAGTCTATATCTGGCGCCAGGGACCCACCCTCAAGGTATGTCTTCATATTGTTGGTCCCGAAAGGAATTTGAGCGAACTAAGAGGATTGACTAAACCAGATAAGTTTCACCAATCAAGCGGAATATAACTGAACGAGAGTAATCAAGTTCAAAACTTGGCAGTATCAAAGTCTGGTAAATCTAACCTTGGTTCTGTTGCATATGTAAATCTATCTTTGGCTCCAAAACTTATATCCACATTCCACACTACTTTCCTGCTAATCATTATCGGTAGAATTACAAAACCAAAAAATCCTTTGATAGATTTTTATTTTGTGCATCAGTTATTTGCTGATAAATAACAGTGGTCATGATAAGCTATCTGTTGGCCAGTTCGATTGATGTTATTTTATTAAGAGAAAATGTTATTTAGACTTAATTTGGAGACGTAATTGAATGTAGTTATTAGATTAAATTTGAAACTCACAACTAATTCAATTATTATATTAAATTAGGTTCCTATAACATTGGTCTTTATTTATTAGTTTAGGGTTGTAAGGGGTAGAAATCGCTACG